TTCTTCTTGGATCAGGCTTTAAAGGGTTAAGGAAAACTCTTATTGAATGTGAAGTTTAAAATAAATACACGCATGCAGTTGCAAGTTGCTGGTTTTTGATCTAACAAAGCGGTACCTTAGTGGAATAATGTTAAGACTCATGGTTCTAAGGTCCTAAGCCATAAAAACTGTCCTTTAAAAGTGTCTCCTAAGGTGTGCCAAACATAAAATGTGAGGCTTTTATAAAGACGTATAAAGAAATAAAGATAATGGGATTAGTCCATCCCTCCAACACAGTTCATGTGGCACATTGTGGGGCAGAACTGTAAAAAACATCTACCAGAACCCAAAACACAACATAGATTTGAATGACTTTAATCAGGAAACGCGGCATGTTTTGAGTTCATGTCAAACCCAGCGTGATCGCACAATTCTTCCAATAAAAGGCCCGCTTTCTTTTGAACACCTAAAGTAAACTGAATGCGGTCATGGCCGGAGAACAGACTCAGATAAGACCGTCCTCAGCCTGAGCTGATATCCAGTCACATATCATCTAATCGGGCTCCCGTTGATTTTGCTTTCAAACTTGCAAAGCAGAGCTAAACTCAGAGATATACATTAACGAAGTAGAACTACTTAAGTGCTGTACTTATGTACCAAAATGCAGTATCTGTGCTTTATTGGAGTATATATATTTTTCCCTACTTTTACTTTTACTCCACTACATATTTTTTTATTAATTTAATACTTTTACTTTTACTTTCTCGTTCTGAATCGTTACTCGTTACTGACATGTAAACGTAATGAGTTGTAGATAGCTCTGTCAGGGTTTGGGAAGCTGGCTCCTCATTGGGCGATTTGAGCCATCAAGTATAGCCTAAAATAAATGCTTCCCAAAAGATTACGAAATCATGGCCTTCAAAAAATCCCCATCTAATCTAAAGAAGCATATCAAGGTAAAACATACAAAAAAGTACAAATATAAGCTAGTAAGTAAGCTAGTTCAGTTCTTCCTGTTCACTCAGGACGTAGCAGCTAACGTTAGCTAAAGCTAACCTAGCTGGCTAGCTGTATGATAACGTTAGCTAAAGCTAACCTAGCTGGCTAGCTGTATGCTATATGCTAGCATAAAGGCTCAGCTCAGGATTCTGACTCTGGAATAATAAATAATAGCAGATGAAGTGCTGTTGATGCTAATGCAGATGTAGTTTTCTGTTTTTGTAAACATCTGTATGGCCTTTCACACGTTTGAAATAATATAAACAATATCTATCAAACTTTTGACTGCCTTTTTTAAATATACACAGTACTTGTACTTTTACTTATACTTGTACTTTCAATACTTGAGTAGCAATTTTTAAAATACTTCCACTTACAATACTTAAGTAAAATAAAAATGGAGTACTTCCGTACTTCCACTTGAGTATCGTGTTGAAAGAATACTTCATCTTTTACACAAGTCAAGTTTTTTATATAGTACTTGTACTCCACTCCTCTATTCCAGTACTTTATACATCTCTGGCTAAGCTCCAGTGCACAGTACTTGTACTTTTACTTATACTTGTACTTTCAATATTTGAGTAGCAATTTTTGAATTTTTTTTAAAGAAATTGATTACTTCGGTACTTCCCCTTAAGTATGGAGTTGAAAGAACACTTCAACTTTTACTCAAACCAATTTTTTTTATATAGTACATGTACTTCTACTCCAGTACTTTATACATCTCTGGCTAAGCTCCAGTGCAAAGTACTTGTACTTTTACTTATACTTGTACTTTCAATATTTGAGTAGCAATTTTTGAAAAATTTTCAAAGAAATGGAGTACTTCTGTACTTCCCCTTAAGTATGGTGTTGAAAGAACACTTCAACTTTTACTCAAGTTAATTTTTTTAATATAGTACTTGTACTTCTACTCCAGTACTTTCTACATCTCTGGCTAAACTCCAGTGGAGCTATTCTCCGGTGGATTATGTGGGCTGGCGGCTCTCTCCCCCCCCCCCAGCAGGCCTTCCCTGATTGGGGGGGGGTTAGAGGAAGTAAGGGATGTGCTGCCTCAGCCTTTGACTATAAGAGGCTTTGAGGGAACGGCTTAGGACCAGCGTGGATACTTCTCCCTCACGCTTCAGGCCGTCCTCTCTCTCTCTCTCTCTCTCTCTCTCTCTCTCTCTGGATCTGCTCTGGATGTTTTGGTCTACCCGACGTATTTTGAGGAGTGGAGTGAAAGGTAGGCGATGTGTCGGGTGTTTAAAGTGTTCGTTTCTGTGAAGACATCACCTCCATTGTTGACTTTTGTGCAAACACAGGCTGATTGAGTTGTTATTTTTACTCGTTTAGTGTTAAAGCTACTGTGAATGTGTCAGACAACACGATTGAAAAAGTTTGATTTTAAAGTTTGATTTCTGCCATTTGTCATCGTTCCACATTTAATCCGTGTGTGTAAAGGTGAAGATGTTCCTGCAACAGTAAAGCCTCTGACCTCTGACTCTGTAGTGTCAAACATTGACTCTTTATGTTGTTAATGGTTTACGGATGAATACAAATCTTTTGCAGTATTTAACCCTGTAATGCCAAATGTGTCATATTTGATACGGTTTCTTTTGGATCTGAGAGTTTTTGCATCATTCAGTGGTAAAAGCTTTGCTCAAACCCCTGTTGTACACATTCAGATTACCTGATAACAGCGAGTAGAAGACCACACCAATATACATTTTTGACTTATTTTTTAATTTTTGACATGCTAATTTGAATTTTGACATGCTAATTTGATCAAAATAATTTATCTTTTTTTTTCTTCATATGTTGTTGAGGGGCCAAAGAAAGACTTCAGACTAAAAAAATCCAATATTCTTGCTATTTTTCTTGGATCAGGCTTTAAAGTTTTAAGCTTCAGCTTTTACAAGAGGCGCTTCTGTTTATTAGAAGGCTTTTTAGCTCCTAACTACTAGGATTCTCTGGCTGTCGTTGGGCTCTTTTTAGAAAACGGAGCGGTTTTAAATCAGTGGCACATTGTGGTACAGGACAGGCAGATCTTCTCCGTTACACATAATCCAAACCAAACGTACAAACTGTGAGTGACTCGTTCGTTAGTCTGAGCTGATGCAGCACCGACTCATGCTGGTGTGTTTCTCTGTTTCTGATGATGTAAATGTGCCAGAAGAGTCGCGGTTTCTCACCTGGAGTTCAACCCGTGGCCCCAAAACAGGACAATTTCAGCCTAAAAGTTGCATAAATTCAATTATCCGCCATCAAAACTGCAAAAAAAGTGCCAATGTGCATGCGTAAAGTCGTACGAGTGATTTGTGTCCATGCCCCAGAACAGGATATTATTGTTGTCAAGTCTACAATCGGTGTTACGCAACAGCTGAGGTTGTGCGCGGTGTTTGTGAGGGCTGTGATCTGTTTGTGCTTGCTGGAGCAGAGGGAAATACTCACGCCTCATTACTGTCTTTGTGCAGCTTCTGGGAAATCTCTGTGTTGGCCTCCAGAGCAGCCGCACACCCGTCAAATCCATATTTCTGACTTAACTAGTTATTGTTCACGATCAGGGGCAGAACGGTGGTGTGGTGGTTAGCACCATAGCCTCACAGCCAGAGGGTTCTGGGTTGGAGTCCCCGGGGGAACCTGGACCAGAGGGTTCTGGGTTGGAGTCCCCGGGGGAACCAAGACCAGAGGGTTCTGGGTTGGAGTCCCGGGGGAACCAGGACAAGAGGGTTCTGGGTTGGAGTCCCCGGGGGAACCAGGACCATAGGGTTCTGGGTTGGAGTCCCGGGGGAACCAGGACCTTTCTGGGTGGTTCTGCATGTTCTCCTGTGTCTGTGGGTTCTCTCCGGGTTCTCCGGCTTCCTCCCACCGTCCAAAAACCTGCATGTTAGGTTGACTGGACTCCAAACTGCCCTTAGTGTGAGTGTGAGCTGCTGTTGGTCCTTGCGTGTCTCTGTGTCCCTGTGATGGACTGGGGACCGTCCAGGGGGACCCCGCTTCTCCCCATTGGCTACTGGGATAGGCTCCGCCCCCCCGACCCCATTAGGGCATAAGAGGTTACGATAATATAATGGATGGATGGATGGATGTACACAATCAGATACACTTGATAACAGACTACACAACAATATTTGTTACTTTATGGGATAGTAGTAAGAAGTGATAAATTCAAAAACGATTTTTGTTTTTTTTCCATATCTTGTCAAAGGGCCATATAAAAACTTCTGAATAAGACAAAGTACAATTTTCTCTCTATTTTGTTTTTGCATCAGGCTTGAAAGATTTAAGTTGAAATGCACGCAGGTTTATCTGCATGTGACCTGTTCTGAATTAGGGTTAGGGTTAGGGTTAGGGTTAGGGTTAGGGTTAGGAATCCTTCCCTCCATGATCAGACTATGTACAGTTCTGGCTAAAGACCATCCAGAACATGTTGACCGGTTTGGGTGCACCGCTTTTGGCCTTGACGCATTCACGACCATCGGGATTTACCGGTCCTCGTTTATAACTTTACGGATAACTTTGACCCCACACCACCGTTGTTGCTCTCTTATTTCAGAAAAGCTCTCGGGATAACAGCCTTTTAAGCCGCCCCCTCTCTCTCTTCTTTTTTATGCTCGCAGAATGCCGCTGCCCCCCGCCCGCCCATGAGCCAGAGCACCTGAAGAGCCTCACGGGACGCTCAGCACTTTGGGGAAGAAGCTGGTGTGAGACTCTTTTACCCTATAATGCCAAATGTATCATATTTGATTCATACGGTTTATGAAATGTTTTGGCTGCCAAAGACGTCAATAGACGTCTTTTATGTTTTTCAACGAGAGTGTCTGGGGGACGATCTGCTAAAGCTTGTCCGTAAATATCAGGCTTCTAGACAGAGTATGTAGTAACAAATTGACCCTCTAGGGGGCAGTGCCACTTTTGATGGGAGATGAGCATAGACTGTAGGCAAATAAGAAAAAGCTAACGGTTC